AACATTAGAGAGATCAAGGAGATAACCAGAATTATGATTGTTAAAGGTTTACAAGGAGAAGTTATATTTATTTAATAAGGAAATCCAAGCAATCAGCCAAATACGCCAAACCAAATTTAAAATAATGTGATTTTTGATACAGGTATATAGCAGTAAGCATGAACATATTTACCTAGACTATGCCCAGATCACTCTTGCAGACTCAGTTGGAAACTCAGAAGTATGCAAAATATCTACTGAAAAAAAAAATTAAATTGCAGGAGAGGTGAGACATGCTATGCTGCTACAGAATTTATGGGGATTGCGTGCTTTTAAACTGAAAATATCAGATAGCTGTACACATGTACATTTAAACTTTGCATAACACTGTGACATGTTGTGACAGTAGTAATGAGAAAGTCTATTCCAAGTTTCAAATAAAAAGGAATTAAAAATTAGTATGAAGAACAAAATCAGAAATTATTTGTAGCTTCACAGGCACCTGACAACACAATATGCCTGCCAGAGGAGCTGAGGAAAGCCTCCTGAGACCTGATGAAATCCCAGACAAGACTGAATTACTGGAGTCAGCTCATCTAAAATATTATACAGTATATTCATGTAATAGCCTCAACTGCTGCAGCTACAGAGCCTGAAGATTGAAAAGGACAAGAAGGAAAAAAACACTTAAATAAGACAGATAGATTAAAAAATTATATGCTGTCCCTCAAATTTTAATGAAAACATTGAGATTTCAATCTTTTCATGTTTTTCTGTTTCTCACAGAACTATGATTATTTTTTAGCCTAACTCAGTAACCATCTTTGTATTGGCAGATAATTTTATCCTTATTTTTCCATTAGTGTATGTACAGTGAAAATATCCTGATATATCAAGGACATGTCAGATAAATTTACCGGAGATTAAATTCAATTCACTATTGAAAAAAAAAAAGTCACAATAAAGTCTCACAAGAATAAAATTGTGAATTTTGGTTGCAACTTCACTAATGAGTATATTTGAATGGTTATAAGGAGGAATTTTTCAAATGGATACCCAGACAGGCTAAACAGAAGTTTAAGCAGAGGCAGAAGGGTTTATTCTCTAAGTTTCAGGCATGTTTCCCAGATATATCTGCCCCCACACTGAACTTCTGATCATTTTATCTGAGCATTAAGCCACTGGGCACACCACGGGCTCCATGGAAACTGTGGGTACCAGAGAATCTGCTGAAAATCTTTGTGTATTGACACTCTCACATGCAACCTGACTGGAATAATTTGGTCCAGAAAGGTGTCTGCAAAACAGAGCATCTAAAGAATCTAGTACAAAAGATTCTCTTTTCTTTGCTGAAGATGCCATGCTATACACTGACAGCATGTTATACTGTAGCCCCATTTCTGATTCTTCTCTCCAGAAAGTTTTAAACCTACATATTTCTGCAGACGATATCTTGAAACTGGAAACTTGCAAAGTATGCTACATAGCTCCTGTGTTACCATGGACTTGCAAAAGGTGAAGCGTGGTACAGTGCACCAGAGAGCCTCTTCAAAATCTAAACAAATGAAGTGGCCAGAGCTCTCATTTAAAAAGGTTAAAGAGATGGATAAAAGGAGGCCCTGTCAAAAGGAATAAGTGGTCTTCTGATGTACTGATTAGCAGCAGGAATCCATTAGGAAGAGCTTGAGTGTAATTAGAATGGAGAGATTAAAAGAAATACAATAGTAGAAGCATTTAGAAAAAAAAATACAAATTGCAGAAATAGGTAGCCTGCAGCATAATCAAAGGACCATGTAGTAGGTGTTTTTAGTAGTTTCTTGTGCACTATAGATTAGAAATGATTGCAAACCATGTAGGAAAGAGTAAGTTATATAAATAGGTGTTTCTATCATACCTTTTCTTAGTCTGTAAGCAGAAAAATTACAGGTATCAGTGAAAAATGCATTAGTATCTATGGCATAAGTAAAACCAAATGTACTGATCATAAGAAATGTAAAGAAAATTTCAGGTAAATGCTAGAAATTCTGGAGCACAGGTTTTAAAACTTGGATTTATTTCAAGTTCTCTTGAGTCATTTAAGTTGAAATTTGTAGAAATACTACCTCAGCCATGAGTGTTCACAGTCTGTAAACTGTGGACATAAACAATGGCATTGAATTGACAGGATTTTAATGTCAAAGCATAAGCCTAACTAAATGAAAAGCAACCAGCATTCTATTTATGAACTCAGTATACAGCAAATATTAATGAATGCACCCTCAGATTTGCTGAAGCTCAGTCAGACACCCACCCGTGACAACAATGAGCTCAACTGTCAGCCAATTTATTCTCCTAAAGGTTGATTTAAAAATAACACAAGTTATGTATCAGTTTCAGTACTTCATAATTCCTACCCAATTTATTTATATTTAAACAATATCGTTTCCTTCATATCACCATCGCTTGAGAAGATCTGACCTTGGCATATGTAGGAAGAGACTGGAATTCCTAGGAACATATCATTAATGCAGAAGTTTGAAATTAAATATACATTAAGTGAATCAGGGGGCTATATCCTTTATTCATTAAGATAACAGAACATGCAAAAAACACCAATTTAAGCAAGGTTATCTTAAAAAATCCATTTCACAACTGCAAGCATAACTGCTATTTTCTATTTCTACTGTACTGCTTGGTCTTATTGATAACATGGAATATACTCAAGAAACTCTACATGTGTCTCTCCACTAAAGCCCTGCTACAGATGCATTCAGACTGTGGCAGATCCTGAGACTGACTGCCCATTGTCCTCTCACTGATACAGTGTCCCTTGTGTGTTACCTTTTTTTTTCCTCATTTCTAAATGCAGTTGTTAACTGCTTTAACCTTTAGCTGATTCCCTTGAACTCAGGAAATTTGTATTTTGTTACAACTAAGCTAAACACAATTTTAAATTCCATTCTTATCAATGCAGTTATAACACCATAAATGAGATTTTTAAGAATATTCATAAATCAGTCTAAAACTTATGTCAATTGGTCTAATTCATGACGTAAAAATGTTAGAATTTCTGAAAAGCTGATACATGCTATTGTAATTGTAATAGGGCCTCCTTCTTAGAATTGTATGGCTACTGTATCCCAAGTACTGTACTGTAGTCACTGCTGTATAATATTTAATATAATATTTTGTAGTAAATAGAATTTAATAGCAAATCAGTTCAAGGATGAAATAATTAAACTGTACTTGGTAAATCTACTTTATTTTGCATCACTGAACACTGTAAGAAGGACTGTCATAGCCAGATATCCCTTTATTATAATTTATGCATTTGTAATAGCATCAGTAAAATTAATGCAAAAAATGCAAATTAAGATCCAGTTATTAACATGCCAAATTTGGATTCATGTATCCATATCTGCCACCTCCCCAGGATAAATACATGACTTAGGAAAACTTACACAGCAATTATTCCACACAGCTGTCAAGACATTTTGCAAAAGATCCTTTGTAGATGGAGACAGTGAAGTACTAAAAAGCAAAAAAAAAAAAAAAGTTTCCAGATTACACACTATTTAAAGAACAAGATCAGACTGGAAATCAATGTACATTTAGACTGAGTACTTTTTGGTTTGTAACTAGGTCATCGGATTAAATGCATCATCACCCAGGGGTCTCATTACAGTCAGTGGCAGAAGACCAGCTGAAAGGCCCCTCGGAGCTGCCCATTAAGTGTGTCTTCAGAGTCTGGGTTTCCTTCTCACAGTTACAATTTAAAATTTACTGTGGGTACCTTTCAGCTCCAGGTTCTGCATCAGCCATGTCCTGCAGCTCAGAAGTAAAGCCAGCTGTACATCTGCTTCCAACCTGGCATTTCTTTGTGAAATGAAAGCTAGATGGAGACCACAGCAGTTTCTCTGTGGTGTTTTGATGGGAAGGCCATATCTATTCACATTCCCAAGCATGCATGCTCTAAAGCCTCCAAGCTGTTCATGCAAATGAAGAAAGAATCGACAAATTATATTTTTTCATCTCTCATTTGCACTCATGAGTGGGCCCCATAGTCACAGACCTTATTGCCTGACTTCTTTCAGCACCCCTCCGTTAAATGTGAGTTTCTGGTCCCGAGAAGATTTGAACAGTATTAAAACAGACCTATTCCCCAGTTTGCTACTATGATTCCTGTGCTGTTTGATGGCATACCTCAAAATCTATTTACTCGGATGGACTATTTAAAATTCCATGCTCAGTTTCCTGTCTGTGACTGCTACGTCCTAAATTATTAGATTAAAAACCAAAATTGCTGCTGTCACTGCCATCTGTAGCAGCTCTGTAAATCTATGAAAGTTTTATTGCAAGTGCACAAACAGGTAATGTTCCAATACAAGCTGAATGAAGACTTTGCTTTAGATAATACTACTTTCCTTGTATGTATTTCAGTAAAAGATTTGGGGGCCTGCTGCTTAGGGCCAACCTTTAAAATTAATATGTTTCTTTATATATTGTAAGAGTTATCAGCATCTGAAGAGCAAGAAGTGCTAAGAGCTAAAGATGGTGTCTCCTTCGAGCGTGTGGTGTCTGGAGCCGAACAGGCACAAGTGGTTTTGCAGGTGATGATCTGCTCTGAGGTGCCACAGCAGCATTGCTGCCACAGATCTTTGGGGTTTTCTGCTTTGGCGATGTCTGCAAGCCTGAGAGTTACACTCTCCGGTAACTTCTGATTTTGGACTTCCCAGAGGCTGTTTCTGCTCCCAAGGGAAAGGTTTTCTCACACAGGTTGGCACCTTTTTCTTGACTTTGTTCCATTTTCTTCAGCTCAGCAAGTCTCCTTCTTTGCATAGGCACCACTTGTGGAATTTCTCCATCATAATTATCACCAGGTTCTTGGACTACTACTTTTTCTTTTATCTCGACCTCATGGGTTAAGATAAAGATTAAGCCCCATTAATTTTAGCTGCCAAAGCAGTCACTGTAGCTGCTGCCAAGAGATTATCCAGTCCCTGATCAGGTTTCATCCCGTGCTCTGGGGCCGCACCTTCGCCATGACAGCGGCAGCTCGGAACCGCGGCCCGGCCCGCTCGGGGCGCCGCGGAACGCCCG